CTCCTCATGAATGGCTCAGCACCATCCCCTTGGTGATAAGTGAGTTCTGTTAGTTGACACAAGATCGGGTTGTTTAAGAGTGTGGCACCTCCTCTCTCTCTCTCTCTCTCTCTCGCTCCTGCTTTCGCCATGTGAAGTGCTTGCTGCCGCTTCATCTCCCACCAGAAGTAAAACCTTCCTGAGGCCTCCCAACAAGCTTAGCAGATACCAGTGCCATGCTTCCTATACAGTCTGCAGAACCATGAGCCAATTAAACCTTTTTCCTTCATAAACTACCCAGTCTCCAGTATTCTTTTAAAGCAATGTAAGAATGGACTGACACAATCAAATATGGGCAAAACAAAAAATTAAATTTATGAAGGTCTCTAGTTTATTTTTTTGAGATGGAGTCTCACTCTGTTGCCCAGACTAGAGTATAGTGGTATGATCTTGGCTCACTGCAACCTCCGCCTCCCAGGTTCAAGCAATTTTCCCACCTCGGCCTCCTAAGTAGCCGGGATTACAGGCACCTGCCATCACCCCCAGCTAATTTTTGTATTTTTGGTAGAGACAGGGTTTCACCATGTTGGCCAGGCTAGTCTCCAACTGCTGACCTCAGGCCATCCACCTGCCCCAGCCTCCCGAAGTACTGGGATTACAGGCATGAACCACCGTGCCCGGCCCCCCTAGTTTCTAGAAAATATTGAACAATCTTCCAGAGGCTAGTCTCTGGGTGTACCTTAATTAACTAATTTGTGATCAGTAAGTAGGGGTAATGTGGTTTATAGCCTAGAGCAGAATATGAGAAAATAAAAACTCCCATTAAAGATCTGCTATCATCTCATATTTCTCTCTACCAAACCCATAGTAAAGTATGATCATGAACATAATATGAAAATTTAAACTAAACATATTTGCTAAGAAAATAAGAACATCATTATCCAATAACAGTACACAAGGTTTTATTGACTACATTGCAAGCGAAAGCATGAGGAAGAAACAATCATTTAAAAACACTAAAGACCCTTACATAGCAAAGGTTAAGAAATAAATTAAGACTCCTATTGTGCTGTGTCTGCCAGGGAGGATACAGGCCTCATTCACTCCGGTCCTTGGGCTCTCGGTATTTCCACTGGATGTAATCAAAGATGTCTTTCTCACTATCCACTGGCAGGGGTTCTCCAGCAACTCCTGCAAGTACAGAGAGAAAAAACTTATTGTAAGAACCAGTTTTAGAGTTTAGTTATAGAGGGTTCAAAATTAAAAGCTGTGTGGGATTTGCTTTCAGAAGAAAAAGGAAAATGGTAACCAAGTCACTAAAAAAGAAAGACACTGGCAGACGCGGTAGCTCACGCCTGTAACCCCAGCACTTTGGGAGGTTGAGGCGGGCGGATCACCTGAGGTCAGGAGTTTAAGACCAGCCTGACCAACATGGAGAAACCCCATCTCTACTAAAAATACAAAATTAGCCGGGTGTGGTGGCGCATGCCTGTAATCCCAGCTACTCCGGAGGCTGAGGCAGGAGAATCGCTTGAACCCAGTAGGCAGAGGTTGCAGTGAGCCGAGAATGTGCCATTGCACTCCAGCCTGGGCAACAAGAGCGAAACTCTGTTTCAAAAAAAAAAAAAGACACTGACCACCTCTATTGTCTCCCAGGAGCCTGTGCTGGAGCTTCGTCTTGTGAGTCACCAGTGCCACAAAGGGAACCTGGGGATCCCAGCTAGAGTCACTCAAGTCATCCTCACTCTTGATTGTCCTCTCTGCTGGAGCCAGTATGTATTATATAAAATACTCTAGTGAGTTCCTTTGCAACTCGGTTCTTGGACTAGCAGCACTGGCATCTAGAACAAGCTTATCCAACCTATGGCCTGTGGGCCGCATGCGGCCCAGCACAGCTTTGAATGTGGTCCAACACAAATTTGTAAACTTTCTTAAAACACAATGAGATGTTTTCGTGATTTTTTTCTTTAAAGCTCATCAGCTATCATGAGTATTGGTGTATTTTATGTGTGGCCCAAGACAATTATTCTTCTTCCAGTGTGGCCCAGGGAAGCTATAAGATTGGAAACCTCTGATCTAGAAGCTTACTAGAAATGCAGAATCCTGAGCCCCACTGCAAGCCCAAGGAGTTAGAATCTGAATTTAGTGAGGCCCCCATGTTGCTGGTATGCATACTGAATTGTGAGAAGTACTGCCCTAGTCTACCAGGGATGAAAGCCTTATTTTATACTTTGAGAACAAAATGACAAAAATTCATTCTCCTAGTAGAGAATGGTAAACCACATAGTATACTGTGAAATGTTAACAGGACCCATTAAGCATAGATTCAGCAATCCTTATTCTTTAAACTTTAAAAGCATGGGGCCAGAGATACTGTGGCACTAAAAGCAAAGTGTGTGGCAATGAAAACAATGATACTTGAGTTTTTCAGGGGTCTTGGAGGTACATTAAACAACAGCAAAAAACAAAAACCCTTTTAGATGAGTAAGATGTTTTACTGAGCATGCAAGGATTTAATCCATTTTAACAAAGCTAGAAATAACGCTTGCCTTGATGGCTTTCAACTGAGGGCCTAGGAGCATGTTATGCATTACATCCTTTCTTGTTGCCTGAAGGACTAAAAATACAAAGAAACTACACTAACTGGCATAGTCATTAGAAGGTTTGCTAAACCAAAGTATCTTTGAAAATTACCTTCTCTCGAGATGAGAGATGATCTCTAATACACACATGGACACTCACCAGTGACTCCCAAGGGACGGATGGTGTACTCATTGATTGTGAAACCCTTTTCTAGGGCATGAGCCCTCATATTCTTATTGAAAATATCACTCCCAGTGAAATAGAGAACACCACAGTAATACTGATCTTTGGGTATCAACCTAAAAAAAATGGACAGTAGATACATTTTTTTTACCATGCATTTCAAGTTTAGCAAATACAGGACTCCTAAAATCAATAAGGAACAAAATACCTAAGATAAGCCTAAGTGGTCTAATAAATTGAAGAGAAGACTATCATGAGGTAGACTGCTCAAATCACCCCAACCTTGTAATTTGTTTACGTTTCTGTGAACTTTGTTCTGAAAGAGGTGTGGAGAAATGAAATCGCATTATCACTTAATACAACTAACTTAGCCCAGGCAGGAAACGACTTTTGAGCTGTGGAAGGCATCACAGTGAGGTGCAAATCTGGAGAAAATAAATCAGAGTCTGTAGACAGTCATTACTCTTCATATACTTTGGAGCTAAACATTGCATTTGGCAAGAACATATGGCTCTCGGGAGTAAAAAGAGGCTCTAGATATGAATGTGAACTCCAAGATACAAAAAGGGAGGGAGAAAACGAGACAAGTTTGGAAAAGTTAACAGGTCAGCAACAAAGTCTGAACAATACCTGATATCAATTCTTCTGTGTGGATATTCTTTTTCATCATTTTTACTGGGAAGCTGGCAAACACCCTAAAATGAATATTTTAAACCAAGTTTAAAGATGTTCTAAACTTAAGGCTTAATTTTAATCAAGCAAAACACAAGGTCATTTTTGTTTTTAATATTAGCAGCTCTAGAATTCTGAGTACTTTTAGCAGCTTCTGTGAGTGATACACTATCCCACCTTTCTATTACACTTCATGATAATTAGAGAACTACACGAAACCGCAAATGAGGATTCTCATTATGAAGATTTGGCCTTTGCATGATTCTAAACAAGAAACTAATCAAAGAAAACACTGAACACAAAACACAGACATCAAAATAAACAGAAGAGAGCAAGGTGGAAGAAACGATTATGCAGGAAGAAGAAAATAAACAAAAAAGCTACCAGTAATAGTCTCAGATAATGGAAGATAGTCTAACCATGAAGCAAGGACAGAATACTACAGAAAACCCTCAGGGAAAGGTTTAAATCAAAATTTAAAATGATAGGTAGCAGAAGTAAAAGAGTTTGAAATTGAAGAAATCTCTCAGATACTAGAAGGGAGAAAGACACGGAAAATAAGAAAAATATGAGATCAGAAAATGAGAGGATCACTTTCTTCCTTCTCCACAGGTTAAGTTTTCATTATACTTCTACAGTTTCCAAACAAAAGTTATTCAAGTCTGTTTTATCTTTTCCCTTTCCAGAAAAATGGACAAAAAATCTGGACTGGTCAGTAACCCATACATATGTAAAACAAGCTATTAGCACCACCAAATTTCCAATTAAAAGTATCAAATGCTACATTCTAAGAAAAATACACAAGTGACAAGCTTCTGGTCCCCAAGAGTGGTCAAGTTAACACATGCCACTAAAAGCCATACTTTTTCACTCAGCAAAATAGAAAAATTAAAATCTAAACTAATTCTTGAGCTGTTCCTATGGAAGAAAGATTAATGAAACATGTTTACCTTCAAAATACCTACCTTCTTAGGAACTAACAAGTTCCAACTCAACTTCCACCTTCAAGTGGATCAGAAGTCATTTCCACCTGGAATTACCAGGCGGTATTACCTTGCGGATGCGGATGTCTAGATGCCACAGGGAATGATGTTGCTGTTTGTCACATCAGTAATAGGATTTTATCTCATGGCTTTGTTCCTTTCCTCGAGGGTAATTTTATTTCCTGCACTTTTTCTGAAGTGCTAATGTTAAAGAATTTCTCTGTTTTACTGTAAATTCTGTATTAGATTGAGTGGATTAGCTTTGTTTGGCATTTCATTTGGGGAGCTTCATACTGAGTGTCTGAAATAAAGCCTCTTTCATTTCCTCACAGTAGCCATGGTATCTCCTATTGTCCCTTGAATTCTTACTGCAGATATTTCACAGAAAATCACCCAAGGCCAAACTTGCACAAAATACTGAAATTTGAATGACACTCACCTTACATAAAACCAATAGTTAAATGCAGAGGAAACTGTTTTTTTCTTCTGAGTGCTACTATATTCACAGGAAGAATAGCTCAATTATCTAAAGACTATGATTGTACAAGATGATCTGGAATAACCATGGCTTTCCTACTGTTTGTTTACTATTAGCTTAAAGGAATTTGTATCTTGAAGATAACTTGCAAAACACATGGAGAGGCATATCTTTAAGACTAGTAAGTGGTGATAGCAAGAAGAGGTTTTGCAAAAATATGGAATGAGAATGGTTTATTTCACTACCTAAGTTGAAATCATTTTGCAGCCAGTTTCCTTTTAGAAGCCTAGAGCTCTTAGCTTCTTCGGATATCTTGCTCACGCTCATTCCCATAGGCTTGCTGCTTGGACTCCTGCCTGGCTATCTCTTCCCTCAGATATCTGCTTAGCTAACTCCCTATGTCTTTCCCTAAGTCTCATGTTCTCAATGAGGCTGCCTCCAACCACACTATTTAATACTGCCTCCTACACTCTCCTCTCCCCTACACCCTGTTCTTCCTTTTTAAAAAATAGCACTTAACGGCCGGGCGCGGTGGCTCAGGCCTGTAATCCCAGCACTTTGGGAGGCCAAGGCAGGTGGATCACGAGGTCAGGAGATCAAGACCATCCTGGCTAACACGGTGAAACCCCGTCTCTACTAAAAATATAAGAAAATTAGCCGGGCGAGGTGGCCGGCGCCTGTAGTCCCAGCTACTCGGGAGGCTGAGGCAGGAGAATGGCGTGAACCCGGGAGGCAGAGCTTGCAGTGAGCCGAGATTGCGCCACTGCACTCCAGCCTGGGCGACAGAGTGAGACTCCGTCTCAAAAAAAATTAAAAAAAAAAAAAAAACACTTACTACTCTAACCTATTATATAATTCACATATTTATTATGTTCATTGTTAACTATCAGTCCCTTCCCACAATCCTCAAATGTGAGTTTTACTTAAATTCATGGATACATCCCAAGCTTCCAGAATAGTGCCTGGAATGCTTGTATGTATTTGCTGAATTGACTGAATACAACTTCTGCCCTGGGGGTGCTCACTCTCCTCATTCTGTTCTTCTTTCATGGCACCATCCTCTCTCTATCCCTTCCTTTGTTCCCCAATCTAATCCTTACCAGGTCACCTTCCTCTCCTGATCCATTTCCACACAGATGACATCTTATATTTGTGCAGCTCTCTTTGTACAACTCTTGGAAGATCCAGTATCTCTGAAGTTGTGCAAATTCTTATTTGTACATCAAATAATTGTACAAACTCTTCAAAGTTTCCACATATATTATTTAATTTTGATCTGCATAACGGTCTTCTGACGTAGGGCAAATATCAATTTTAAAGATAAAACTCAGGCCTTTTAGAAGTAAATCCACCTTCCCAATGCCACACAGAGTATTAGTAATGGAGCCAGAATAAGACCCTCTATCTTCTATATCCAAATCTATTCTTTTATAATGAAAGATACAAACCACCTCTTAACTGTCTCTAAAATTGATTTGAAAGTTGACCTCGAGTGCTTCTCTTCCTAACAATGATTACAAATGTCAAAACAGCACACTCAACTATGGTATTTTTTTAAGTTCCAGGGACTATGAACCACAGGTATAACATCCAAATTTTGTCAAAAACCACCGAGATGGATTCCTAAGTCGCAACCTAAAGATCTTAGTTTCTTGTTCTTATTGTCATCTGAATCTTCTACACTTAAAAACAAATAAACAGACCCAGTCTTCTTGTGTTTTAGCCTGTTTTCTTCTGGAAATACGTCTGGGGGATGCTTTCCTGTCAATACCGCTAGATGTGCTGCCAGATGTATGATTTAAAGACTGGGAAGTCAAGATAGGGCATGGTTCCTACAATCCCAGGTCTATCCTAGGATGGGTGAGTGGCCTTAGTCTTCATTCCTGTGGCACATGCACAGTGAGGTCTAAACTAGCCTCATCTCTAGCAATAACTGGGATTTGGCTGCCCTTGCACTTCCTAGGCAAAGGGTTTTCTTTCTTTGATTGAGCAACTACTGGGACAACCCAAGTCCACCACTATCAACAAGATCACAAAAACCTGGCTACCCACCTTTCCTTTTCAGGTTACATCCAGCCCACTAGATGATACTTTTTCCTTTTTTGGGGAGGGTGAGGGAGTCTTGCTCTGTCGCCCAGGCTGGAATGCAATGGCGCAATCTCAGCTCACTGCAACCACTGCCTGCCAGGTTCAAGCGATCCTTCCATCTCAGCCTCCTCAGTAGCTGGGATTACAGGCGCCCACCACCACGCCCAGCTAATTTTTGTATTTTTAGTAGAGATGGGGTTTCGCCATGTTGGCCAGGCTGGTCTCAAACTCCTGACCTCAGGTGATTCACCTGCCTCAGCCTCCCAAAGTGCTGAGATTATAGGTGTGAGTCACCATGCTAGGCCCTTTTACCTTGTATTCTTGCTAGCTGGATTCCTATAGCTTCTGTTGGTTTTTCCTCTGGATTTCTCTTCGAATACAGCAGAACACCATTAAGATTATAAAAAATGGCTTCTGCCATGGTAGTGTGGAAATACCTTCCTAGTCATTAACTCTGAAAATAGTTGGCACACTTCCCAGTAAGGATTTCTAGTGACTTTCCCAGGGATGATACTTGAGGAAGAGATTTAGGACAGAGAGGTCCCCAGAATATGCCCAGATGTAGCAAGACACTTTTCTACTGTGCAAAACATCCAGCTTGTCTAGCAGATATTGTTTTCAGGATTTTATCTGACTGAATATTCTTAAACGTAAGATTCATGAACATTCATTTTGAGTGAATTAAAATTCACCTAAATTTGAAAAGGCTGTTCATGCGGCATACACAAGCCCTATTTTTAATACCATCTCATGTATGTATATACTTTTGGGAACAGAGTAAGACTTCAAAACCTCACAGAGTCAAGAGAACAAATCAGAGATTTAATTTCCAAAGACTGACTAGAACCTTTACTTTTATCTTTCCAAAGTTCGTTTGGAAGCGTTGTTGAAGTGTGACCAGCTTAGAAAATACACTTTCACAGCCCACTAATATCACCATGCTGAACTTAATGACATGATTTTTTATATGTGTGTGGGTTAAATATACACGACATACAATTTACTATCTATTTGCCATCTCTTTTTTTTCTTTTCTTTTCTTTTTTGAGATGGGGTCTTGCTCTGTCACCCAGGCTAGAGTGCAGTAATGCGATCATGGCTCACTATACCCTCAAACTCCTGGGCTCAAGCTATTCTCCGACCTTAGCCTCCCAAGTCACTGGGATTATGGACATGAGCCACTGTGCCTGACTACTATTTTAACCACTTTTAAGTGTACCATTCTGTGGCATTAAGTACATTCACATTGTTGTGCAACCATCGCCACCATCCATGTCCAGAATGTTTTCATCTTCCGCAACTGAAACTCTGTGCCATTTAAACAGGAACTCCCTATTACCCCCTCCTTCCAGGTCCTGGCAAACACCACTCTACTTTCTGAATGACATGACAATTTAATTATCTTTCTCAACTATCTTCTAGTTTTGGCTAAAACTCTTGTCAAATCTATGCACTGAGACGCTTACTAATTTTAGCATGTCAACTCTCTAAAAGCACAGTCTCTTTCCTTTCAGTCATATAACCCGGGAAAAGTGGGGTGTGGAGAAAATGGACTCAAATGATGTATATAAGTGACAGAACACTAAACGTCACCTTAAGAAAGAAGTAGGAGGCCCGGGCACAGTGGCTCATGTATGTAATCCCAGTACTCTGGGAGGGCAAGGAGGGTGGATCACTTGAGATGAGGAGTTCGAGACCAGTCTGAGCAACATGGTGAAACCCCATCTCTACAAAAAATACAAAAATTAGCCGGGCATGGTGATGTGTACCTGTAGTCCCAGCTACTCAGGAGGTTGAGGTGGGAGGACTGCTTGAACCCCAGAGATTGAGGCTGCAGTGAGCCATGTTTCGCCACTGCACTACAGCCTAGGTGACAGACCAAGACCCTGTCTCAAAAAAGAGGAAGAGTCTTAATTCTAGGCTGGGCACGGTGGCTCATGCCTGTAATCCCAGCACTTTGGGAGGCCGAGGCAGGCAGATCACCTGAGGTCAGGAGTTCGAGACCAGCCCAGACAACATGGTGAAACCCAGTCTCTACTAAAAATATAAAAATTAGTTGGGCATGGTGGCAGGCGCCTGAAATCCCAGCTACTCGGCAGGGTGAGGCAGGAGAATCGCTTGAACCCGGGAGGCGGAGGTTACAGTGAGCCGAGATTACCCCACTGCACTCCAGCCTGGGTGGTAAGAGTGAAACTCCATCTCAAAAAAAAAAAAGAATCTCAATTCTAGATTTCTATCTGCCTTCCTGTTGGTATACAGAATCACTTATTAATCTGCTTTTAATCCACTAGCCATTCATCTTGAATTATTAAGTCTTAATTCCCCCCCAATCAACTTCCCTCGTTACCATTCCATGTAACATGTTTCTTCCCCTGAGTGTTCTATCACAGACCGTGATGACTTTTCTTTCTTTGGTGTTGAAATAGATTAATATTTTTCAATCAATTCTAACTTCACTTATTGAAGAATTCTGAGTCAGAGAAGATGAGAACCATTTGCTATTTTAGGGAAAAATTAATGTGTGTCAAAGTCATTACTGATATTTTCAAAAAGCAGATTATGCCTCATTAACTATTCTTTTTATTTTTGAGACAGAGTCTCGCTCTGTCACCCAGGCTGGAGTGCAGTGGTATGATCTTGGCTCACTGCAACCGCTGCCTCCCGGGTTCAAGTGATTCTCCTGCCTCAGCCTCCCAAGTAGCTGGGACTACAAGCATGCGCCACCATGCCTGGCTAATTTTTCGTATTTTTAGTAGAGACGGGGTTTCACCATGTTAGCCAGGATGGTCTTGATCACCTGACCTCACGATCTGCCCACCTCGGCCTCCCAAAGAGCTGGGATTATCCTGCCATGCCCGGGCCTAATTAACTATTCTGATGACACCTGTTATTTACAAGTGGAGAATTAAAAGAAAATTCTTTCCTAAAATATTCTGAGAGTAGTTATGAGAATCAGGCATCCTGCTGATTATTTTTCTTTAAAGTCTCATGGATACTCTATTTGTTGACAGTAATTCAAAGCTACCATGAAGTCACACACTCAGAATGGTTACTAAACAGTCTCCAAGTTTTTTTTTTAGATGTGCTAACTCTTAACAAGTACTTACCATGAACTTTGTCTCACCCTTCGACAGGGTATCTGTGATAAAATGAACCTTCTGTAACTGCTCCACAACCTGATGTAACAGTTTTGGCTGCAGAATCATAATTAGGGAATAAGAAAAAGAGTAATTACTTTGTAATAGTAAGAAAATATTTAACAATATCTTTAGAGACAGAGTCTTGCTATATTGCACAAACTAGAGATTGTGCTCTTCACAGGTACAATCATGGCAAACTATAGCCTTGAACTCCTGGACTCAAGTGATCCTCCTACCTCAGCATCCAGAGTACCAGGAACAACATCATGCCTGGCTAAGAAACCGTTTTTTTTGGCAGCGAATTGAGCCCGGAAAGAAAACATTTTTAACATGAGTTTTCTAATTATTTATGGAGAAATCTCTCTCTTTTTTTTTTAAGACAGAGTCTCGCTCTGTTGCCAGGCTGGAGTGCAGTGGTATGATCTCAGCTGACTGCAACCTTTGTCTCCCAGGTTCAAGTGATTCTCCTGCCTCAGCATCCTGAGTAGCTGCGACTACAGGCATGCACCACCGCGCCCAGTTAATTTTTATATTTTTAGTGGAGACGGGGTTTCATGATGTTGGGCAGGATGGTCTCAATCTCTTGACCTCGTGATCTGCCTATCTTGGCCTCCCAAAGTGTTGGGATTACATGCGTGAGCCACCGTGCCCGGCCATCTCTATGTTTTTTAATGTTCTGAGCAAGTACTTTTTCCAATAGAAAATTCACCTTTGAAACATATTTTTAGAAACCACTGTTTAAGGTATTATGATTGTTAAAACAATGATCAGTTGTATTTACCTGTTTCCTTAAATCAAAGAGTTTTACTGTTCTTGAAATGGCTCATGGAAAAAAAAACCAAAGAGTCAGCTGTTTCATCTTTTAAAGGCATATGTTGTAAAATAAAAAATGTTTTGCCTTCACAGGTTTTCTAATAGAAGTAAGGTTCCTCAATATTTCATTTTTTAAGAGAAAATATTCCTTTAATGAAAACCTGATTATAGTATTTCTAACGTATTTATCACAGATAGTAAGTCGTTCTAAAACTATTGTATTAGATGTCATCTCTTTCAAATGTTAGACTGTCCTCCCAGCTCCTCATGGAAGAACAATAGGTATCCCTTTCGAGAAATTTGCCTTTCGCAGAATTCAATCAGTACAGAGCTCTTCAGTAGACTTTTCGGGAAGGCAAAAACAAAACTTATTCTGAAAATATCAACTATCATTTAAAAAGTGAAATTCACTGTTGTGTAAGACTGATCACATTGATTATAAACGCTGAGGCACCTGTTTGGTTGATTCCGAAGTGAAGCTGGGATGGGTCAGGAGAACATCCATGTCACCACTGGACTCTGCACCTGTGATGACAGAAGACACGTATGAGATTGTCCACATAAATGTATCAGTTGGGCAAATGGAACCAAGCTGATGACACACACAGAAGAGCCTTACTTCTTACAGCCTAACTTTCTATTTCACTGTGCTTCATAGTCAGAATTAGTTAAAAGATTTCAATTTTCTGTCCAACTATTCAGATGTATTGATGTAGACAGCAGAATCTGTGATGACAACAGTAATCGGCATTAGATACACATTGCATACAATAAGTTAATTTAATGTGTTAAAAATGCACCTAAGTAACTACTCAATAATGAATAAAAACAATATTTTAAAATAGCTTTAAAATACACCTATGAACAACTCTATATGTAAAAATCTCAAATTAAACAATATACTGTAACTCTATAAAAGTCAATCAGAAAACTCATTTCGGCCGGGCACAGTGGCTCATGCCTGTAATCCCAGCGCTTTGAGAGGCTGAGGCCAGAGGATCGCTGAGCCCAGCAGTTCGAGACCAACCCAGTCAACATAGAGAGACCCAGGCTCTCTCTTTTTTTTTTTTTTTTAAAAAAAAGAAAACTCACTTCAATTCCTATGATTGAACTCAATTAATCGATCTATACTGTACAACCACATAGCTTCAGGCAAGTTACATGCAGCTATTTAAACCTTTCTTTTCCTATATTCTATGAAATTCTGTCTCCACTTAGACGGAATTTGTTCATTTTACTTTTTTTCAGTGTTGCAAATGAGGACTCTTCATTCCTCTAGACCTCAGTTTTCTTATATGTAAACTACTAAAAACTACTTCATCTGCTATTGTGTAAATAAAAACATATGTAAAAGCATCCACTATAGTGCCTGGTATACAGCATAAAAGAATCCAATCTATCTCCTGC